CCCGGAGGTGCAACGTTCTGTATCCAGATCTCACTCCCCTGAGCCATCCATTCGATGTGCCCTTTGAGGACTGAGAAGAGCTGCTGCTATCTTATTTGGGGTCAGGAAGAGGCCCCATGATATGAAGGCTGAAAGCATCCACACCCCAGCACTGGAAGTGGGGAGATAATCTCAGAGACAGTGGATGGGAGAGAGAACCCTAGCTCACTTTCTTTGGGAGGAGGTGGACTGGAGGAACCTGTAGTTTAGCAAGGATTTGGCCTACCCTAGTCATCTACTGGCTGTTTCTGTAACCAGCGCACGGGGGATCATGGTGCCCAGGCAGCCAGAAGATGAGTTTCTGGGCTCGGCTCTCCCTGCTGGGAAGGAAATGCTTCCCCTCCAGAGTTCAGATGCATACAACAGAGCATTAGAAATCAATGCTTGACGGGAGCGTAACTCACTCATGCAATGAATCAGGGCCAGGGAGTTAAGCTGCAGCATGGCTGTCTCGAGTGGTCATGAAGATAGTTTCCCCAAGCTAGGGAGATGCATTTTCTTTATATTCATGGGCAGGTAGCCTCTAAACAGAGAGTGAATCTGGCTGTTTTTAATGGTTTCTCCTGTATTGTTGAAAGGAACTGGTATCTGTGGGCACTGGAGACGGCAGGACTGGAGAGATGATCGTCTTGGGACATGTGAAGCACAAGCTGGTGTGTTCCCCAGACTTTGAGTCCCTGCTGGAGCACAGGCATCGATAAGAGAAAGGAAAGAAGGAGCAGAGTTCTCCGTGGGATTCTCCTCTCCTTTGTGGAGGTTCAGCCCAGAGGTGGGCTGCTCCTCTCGTCTGGGACGTCCTTCCCAGTTCAGGTTCTGTTCTGGCTACAGGAAGCAGGTGCATGTCAGAGGAGGGTTTCCCACTGGGGCCGTGCAATGCCCTCTGTGCCACTACTCTGCCCACGGGCATCTTGCTCTTAGAAGCCTCCCATCCGTTTTCTTTACTGGCTGTGCTCAGAGCGAGGGGAGTTGGGAGGGCTCCTCCCCTCCAGGTGTAGCTATAAACAAGAATTACAGGGGACAAATGCACTCCTGTCCCCACTGGCACAAGTATACATATGTTCCCACCCTGTGTATATAGAAAAGCTACAGTGACTCCAGCCTCTGCCTATGGACCTAGCTCTGGACTTGAGACAACTGGGTTTTGGGTTTCAGGCACAGGTGAGGTGTGCCATAGCCTTTTGGTGCCAGTGAAGGAGATTTCCTTCCCCACTCCTGACTGTATACAAGCCTGCAGCATCCTACCATGTCCACCTGCCGTGCATTGCCAGAGTCCCTTCATCCAGCCACCACCATTGGGCTGAAGGAGGACTGGTCCAGGAGGCACGACAAAGCAACTCAAGCTGCTTCCCCCTGCTCCCTGTGGTTGAATGAGCTGCCTGTGCCACCCTCCCAAGCCCTGCTGGGAAGAGCCCGGAAGCCAAGCCGGGGCCCCCATCCTGGAGACTGTTAAACTTTCACCGGTGGTTTCCCTTTGGCCAGAGATACAAAGTGAGCTGTTCCTGTGGGCTCTCTGATTTGCCTGTCGACTCCCAGAGTGAATTTCTGCCTCCTTTGCTGTACAGCCTCTATGTGTCTATAGGATGTTCGCACTGCAGTTAGACACCCACGGCTGGCCCATGCTGGCTGACTCAGACTCTGTCTAAAGGGCTGTTTAATTGCAATGTAGACTTGTGGGCTTGGGCTGGAGCCTGGGCTCTGGGACCCTCCCATTCTCAGGGTCCCAGAGCCCAGGCTCCAGCTCAAGCCCACAAGTCTACACTGCACTTAAACAGCCCTACAACCTGAGTCAGTGGGCACAGGCCTGGCACAGGTTTTTATTTGCAGTGTAGACATACCCTGAGTCACTTTAGGAGGGGTGTGTAGTCATTCAGGGGCTTGCTTTCACATCACCAAGTGATTGCCCAGAGAGAGACACTGCCTCTCATCTTTGCGTAAGTATTCCTTTAAAAGGCTAGGCCCTGTGCCCAGTAAATGTGTGATATGGCTTTGTGGGTGAATCTCCTGCGTCTGTGAAGGTGAGAGTCCTGTTCGCCAATGTCCAGATAGCACTTTGAACTCCTAAAGTGCTGTCCACGTACGAAGCGTGTGTTGTTTAGATTTTCCAGCCTGCACCGCTTGGAAGCCATGGAAGAATGTGCCAATAACTTTACCAGCTGCTAGTCTTGTGTTTGGGAGTTTAATATTAAAATGTGGCCTTGGTACAAAATGCATTCAGCACCCTTCAAGCTTCCCCAGCTGGCTGCTGACGAAACAAGTTTTCAGTGCATTCATTGTGTTATTGAGGCTGTAGAGAAACAGGATGGCCAACACCACCTGGGTTTAATGACCACTTAGGTTCTGGAGTACTCCACAGAAACCACCTAATTCCACCCCTTCTGCTGAGTCTTCAGACACCCCTAACTCCTCCTCCAGTTTATGTGAGCGGCTAAAGATAGCTGTCTACCTCCCGCAGCCGCTTGTGCCAATGAAGTGGTTTGCCACAGGGGCAGTGGCTCTTGGAAGACCCAGCAGCTTGTCTGTGTGGGCTCTGTCTGGTGGAGCCAATGGAAAGAGCAGCACTTGCTGCAGTGTGGTGTCGAGGCTCCTGGATTCTACGGGGAGCATTGCATGGGTTGCATGTGGAAATCAAAGTGGAATAAAACTGCATCCGTGTGTACATGTGGTATAGGTGTGTGGGCTACAGATTATTCCTAGCAGGCTATCACGCGTTCTCTCTGTACTTAGTATCTTGTGTGCTCTCCTCTCCTTGAAACTTGCTATCTCCTCCACCCAGCATTTGGGAATCTGCTCTTTCTTGCTGCACAGTTTTCCAAATCATGTCATCCTAGAAGCCACCTTTTTCCATTTGTCTGCCCTCTAGCTCCCTGCAATGTTGCAATTATCTTTCCTCAGAAGTATCTTCTATGCCCTGTTTGCCCAGCCCTCTATCTGACAGGTTGGATGTACTATCACGAGCCGGATCAATAGAATCTGGGCGCTTTCTGTGGGGTTCATCTTTTCTCCTCCACCATACCTGTTGCTTGAGATGGGCTTGGTATCCTAGTCTGCTCAGTCCATAACTCTTATTTAACATACACTATATACCGATACTTCTGTGGGAGGCAAGGAGAGTCATTAAATACAGTTGAGCATAAGCTTTCGTGAGCTACAGCTCACTTCATCGGATGCGATGAAGTGAGCTGTAGCTCACGAAGCTTATGCTTAAATAAATTTGTTAGTCTCTAAGGTGCCCCAAGTACTCCTTTTCTTTTTGCAAATACAGACTAACACAGCTGCTACTCTGAAACCTGTCATTAAATACAATATTCACTATCTGGTTAAAACAAACAGCTGCTCCTGGCAGGGCTCTGGAGCTATGCTCCGGCTCCAGGCAAAAACCTGCAGCTCCACTGCTCTGCGCTCCGCTCCGGGCTCCGCTCCAAAGCCCTGGCTCCTGGTGCCACCACAATTTTGATAGAAATGTGTGAAATCTCAAGGCTTTATCTGACGGGAACATAAAACATCCCACTCTCTGCAATTCAGAATGCAGTAGCAAAGTCTCACTCATACAGATAATCCTCTTTATTGGCCTGAAAACTAAGTCTGCATGCTGTGAGGGTATTAGAGGTCTGTCTGGCTGCAATTGCTAAGGCCATTGGACATGTTTCTGCTGGGGTGAATGATGGTGTAATGGTCAACCTCTGAGTTGGGCTCTATGGCTTAATGTTCCCTTGACTCAAATGAGGGTAAAATAAGGTGGAAAGTGCCCATCTTTGTAACCCCAACTTGCTTCTGACAGTTTGGCTGTCGTCAGATGCAAGCCCCCAGCACATCCATGGCATTGATGCGCTACACTTAAGGCTTATGAGGAGAGGCTGAGGGAACTGGGATTATTTAGTCTGCAGAAGAGAAGAATGAGGAGGTATTTGATAGCTGCTTTCAACTACCTGAAGGGGGGTTCTAAAGAGGATGGATCTAGACTGTTCTCAGTGGTACCAGATGACAGAACAAGGAGTAATGGTCTCAGGTTGCAGTGGGGGAGGTTTAGGTTGGATATTAGGAAAGACTTTTTCACTAGGAGGGTGGTGAAGCACTGGAATTGGTTACCTAGGGATGTGGTGGAATCTCCTTCCTTAGAGATTTTTACTGTCAGGCTTGACAAAGCCCTAGCTGGGATTATTTAGTTGGGGATTGGTCCTGCTTTGAGCAGGGGGTTGGACTAGATGACCTCCTGAAGTTCCTTCCAACCCTGATAATCTATGATACACCAGTGTTTCTCAATCTTTTTGATACCCAGGATCAGCTTGCTGCCTTCCTAAACTGTCAGGGAGATCTCAGGGACTGGCGCTGGTCCAGGCCTGGTCATTGAGAAACACTGCTCTACACAACTACAATGGCCAGGAATGTCTTTATTATTAGGAAAGCCTGGTAGTTGGATCTCTATAGAAAGGCTTTTAATTCTCAGAATTTGGGTATTGTCTGTGCTGACAGTCGTACTGTTGCAGCTTGTATCTCTTACATGCCAAAACATCAGAATCTAGGGCCTAGGCCCACTAGCTATTGCATTATCCCCTACAACGAGGATACTGGAGGAGTGTGCCTTTCTGACAGCCGAAGCTGCAAGCAAGTCCTGTTGCTGGAGGGTGATCCAGGCTCTCGGGAGATCCTTAGTGTGCTGTGTGTGCTCCCTCCCCTTTCTATTAGCCAATTGGCTGCTGCCTTGCATAGTACGTAGGTTTGGCAAAATGCACCTGTGGAGCTGTCCCGTAGATCAAATCATTCCATTGGGACTTAACTACTATAGGATGCTACCACATCTAGCCTTGGTTCCCAGAAGGAATGCAGTTAATCAACAGGGTGCTCTAAGGGCTGCTCTGTACCTGAGTGGGGATGTGCAGAGTAGCTGGAGGTGCTGCTGTCCTGCAGATATAGGAGTAAAGAGGAACTCGTGGCCGGGGAAGGAGGTCGCTCAGGATTTGTCTTTATTGGTGCATTGAGTTCTTAATGTAACGCACCATCTTGAAAGCCTTCAGGTTCAGCGTTCCTCCCTGGATCCCCTTCTGGCCCACTAGGATGAGGCACACTGGGTTGGCCAGGGCAACAGTAATGGCATAGGTGCAGGTGTCGCTGTTCTCCTCTTGCCGTTTGGTCCGGAGGTCCATGGTGTAATTGTGGGTGTCTGTGTAGAGATTGTCCCGGATCACCAGACACCTGAGCCCACCCAGCGTGGTTCCCTGGGTGAGAAGTGTGTCTCTATTCCTACCCAGGAGCACTTGGATCTCCAGCTGAGTCATGTTTGCCAGAACCCCACCTGGGTGGGCAGCCAGGAGCTGCTGGTGAGCCACGGAGATCACTGCTGCATCGCAGCACAGCCCATCTCTCATCAAGCTGCTGATGTACTCCTGCCAGCCTGACATCCTATGATCTGTGGAGCAATGTGTGCAGCTATGCCCACCTTGCTGACACGGAAAGGTGGAGAGGAAGGGTCCTCTTAACGTCTCTGATGGTAAGGCGGTCCCTTGTTCTAACCTCCAGCTTGGTCTCAGAAGGGCAAGGCACACATTCAGTCCATACAGTCTCTTTCCATGAATGAATGGCTTATTTCAGGCCAAGAGGAGGGGGAGGCTCTCACTACTGTGACATCATGCGCTTCCTCCCAAGCACAGTGTAAATCCCTGGTGCTCACCAAACAAGGATGCTTCAAAGCTAGATTTCCAGACGCTAAGATCCTGCAGTGTTTTTTCTCATCTGCACTGAGCAACCTCCACCAACACCCCAAGCAGCTGGACCCTGGGTGTGAAGGCTTAGCTGCCCTCCATGGCTTCTGATCTCAACCCGGGAAACAAGCCAGTGCTATGACGACAATGAGATCATTTCTCCCTGTGATGTCACAGTGCATCCTAACTGATGTCTGTCTAGTAAGTTGATTCATCCTTTGCTGTGTATTCAGGATTCTCCTTAACGTTCATTGTCCCTTCTGCCCTACTTGAGAGAACATGTATTGGTGTAGTTGTCAGGTCCTAATCCACCAGCGCACTCTTGCTATTACCTGCTCTAGCTCCTGTGTGGGAAACTCCTCCATAACCCATGCTTCTATAGCAGCTTTTACATTCTGGACTTACTCTGTAAGGAAGCACCACCCCAGAGATCACCAACCCTTCCATCCCATGGAAAAATGTCCTACTGCAACTAGCATGCAGGTCTTCCTGGATCGCCGCTGACCTACACCCTCATCAGTTTGCTACTGTTCTGTCCCACCTGTGTCAGTTTCATCTGTTCAGAGATGCTGGTCTAGGGTGGCAACTCTATTGCCTCACATCCAATGCTCCTTTGGCTGCTGGGTTTTGGAGCAGTGCAGCAGCTAGGGGAAGGGGAGGGCATGGGACTGTTTTCTGCAAGAAGAGAAGGAGCAATACTCAAGAATTTACAAATGAAAATAGAGGCTGAAGGGGGCTGTGAGCAAATGCCTCATTTATTACATAGACAAGCTGGGTGAGATAATATATTTTATTGGACCAACTTCTATTGGTGAGAGAGACAAGCTTTTGAGCTGCATCGAGCTTGTTTTAATCTATTACACATCTGCAGTTCTTACCAGCTGGTTTCCCTGGGTGTTAGCAGCTATCTACATGGCAAAGGTGGAGTGAAATAGCTAAACTAACTGAGAAGACAGCAGGGACTGGGCTCTTCAGATAGCAGCTGAAGCATTCAGTCTGTCTCTGATTTGTAGCTAACGGTGAATGTGCCCTCTAGTGTTAGCAGCTGGAGTGACTTTCTTGAGCAATCGCACCAGGGAAGGGAGGTAGCAGGAAGCAACCCTGAGCCTATCGCTCTCCCCAGAGGCTGAGGAAGCTTCTTCCAGCAGAGGGCTGGGTTGCAAGTAGGGGAAAAGCAGGGAAGAGTTTGACATTGCCCTTTCTTCCCTGCCTTCTGCAGGCCTGTACCCTGCTGGCAGTGATTTATTAGCAATGGGGAAATGTTGACCCCAGCTGAAGAAGCATGCTGCAAAAAGGTCTTGGCCCCTTGCACAAGCAGCATGCATGCTGCTGTGACCCCTAGCTGGCCATAACTGGTGGCCAGCTCTAGAGGGGGTGTGAAATATTTCCACGCCCACGGAGGGGAGTCTTTCTCTCTCCTACCCCTGGCTTTCTTCCTGGCAGCACAGAACTGAGGGTGGAAACAACCTTTTGCTGAAGGACCAGTGCCCTGTCCTAGGAGCTTTAGCCAAGTGCCTCCAAAGGCAGGACTGGATCTCCAATGGAAGTGCTGCAGCTGGGGCTAGAGGATAGCTAAGGACTGAACGAGCATAGAGGACAAGTCCTGTCCTCCCCCACTCAGCCAGAGGAGTACACCCATAGAGGCAGTCCCTTTAATGGCAGGATAGGGATGCACCAGCTCCCACTAAGTGTAGATGAGGTCTCAACACTGCAGACATCTGTTTCGGCCAACTGGAACTTGATGTAGCTTCCAGTATGACAGCTATCACCTGATCTGCCATGCAGCCCACAGCAGTAAGGGATGCTTAGCCAGCCAGCTAAGGTGTAGTTAGCGCTTCCATATCTACCCTCTGCTTGCGCTCTACATTTTGCTGCCCCAGTATACTAGTACAAACGGTTGCTGCTCTTGTTTTCTTTCCCTGGGAATTATTTTCTCTAGCTTAGTGCAAGCCAGGACAGCGCCTTCCTTGCCAGCTTCACCTTGCTCTCGTGTCTGCTCCACGAGGATCTCCAAGCACCTCACAAACATTACTGATGGGGAAACGGAGGCAGAGTGCGGTGAAGCATCTTGCCCACGGTCAGAGAGGAGCCATGTGGCAGATAGGGAGCGAGTACCTAGATCTCCTTGGTCGCTGTGTTTATCCTTTAACCACCTGGGCCACCCTCTTTCTCCTTTTTCATGTCCTAGCTGTCTTGTGCATAAAATACATCCACTATGGGTACTAAGCTGGTGCAGATTGTGCATTACTACTAGTGCTCTGTTCCCAGTGCACCAGGAGGTGCACACCACTCACCTGCTGCACCCCCTCTTCTGAAGCAATTAAACTTCCTTCTCATATAACTGGGCCCAATCCAAGAAGAAGAAATAAATTTCCTCCTTTCATTTACTCATTTTGCTTTGTTTTTGTTAGCTTAGATGTGATTCCTCCCCTCTCCCTTATTCATTCCTCCCCACCCATCCACCACTGCTCAGCCAGAACTGAGCCAAGGGCTTGTACGGTGCTGTGTTCCTCCAGGCCACCTTCCTGCTTCCAGGCTTCCAGGAACGCTGGGAACAGAACCTCCCAGACCACCTCTGCAAGGGACATTCTCCGGCCTTCTGGCACAGGCAACCTGGACTGGCCAGCGCTTCAATCCAGCGCTGTCTCCTTCAGCATCGGGGTAGTTACCATTACCCCATTAGCCATCTTCATCTTCCCCAGGGCAAACATCGGTCCAGCTGCGTGAGTGGTTGCAGCCTCTCCTCCACTGCCCGGAGGCAAAATCAGAGCCTACTCTTTGGGTTGGCCTGGTCCTAAGCTTCAAGCTGCTTTTTATGCCTATTTCCATTCTGCATCCTTCCACCCTACTGAACCTGCCCATGGTGGGTCCCATTTCCTCAGCCTCTTGGTGTATCTGCAGTGACCCTCAGTCTTTGATCATTCTCTAGCTATAGAGGGTGGGGGTTAGGAGGAAACCTGGCCCATGGGAAAATTATCCCGTAAGTGCCTTCTGCAGAGTATCTTGCACTTTCCTTTGTAGCGGCTGCTGTCAGAGGCAGGACTAGTTGGCTGCTGGGATTTGATCCAATAGGGTATTTGTTCTGTTCACCCCACTGCAGCCTCTACAGACCTTGCAGCCTCACTACCTGGGCAAAGGGGTTTGCCTAGGGCTCTGACACATAACAGGAGGCAGCGACATGTCTCCTGAGGGCTGGAAGCAATGTGTTCTGTGCCAAAGCACTGAATGAGATGGGAGAGAGCATTGGCTCTGGAAGAAACCTCAACCATGTCCCATAAGGGGGGAAAGAGGTGTGGCTTGCCAGAGTAACTATGAAGAGACCACCCCATGCTATGATGCAGGAGAGAGAGGGTCCTGCTGCAGGAGGGGGAAGTGAAGGCAGTAGGTCAAGCCCCACCTGTCCTCAATGGAGTCCCCACTATCCTACAGCATCTGGGTGATTTGCTTTATCTGCTGCTTGTGGAAGTAGTCACGGGCATGTGATAGATAGCAGCATCCCTGCACTGCTCCCACAGGTCACTGCTCGAGTAGCTGGCTGTTTTCTCCATCAGCTCCTTCAGGTTCACAGCACTGCTGGGGGCAGGGCTGGTGCCTGTGCCAACATGCCAACCTGACCATTCGCACCCCCAGGCTTGGGTCCTGACGCCAGCCTCATCCAGATGGGGAGAGAGGTGGTACTTTGAACTGGGCACTGCGAGTGGCTGACCCTTCCCTATGCCCTTGGGCTCCTCTTGCTAATATGGCCATGACCCTATGTACACCCATCCTGTTGCTGGGTCCTGACTCCTTTATCAAAGAGCATCACATTGGGCAGGGGTGGGGAGAAAGTGGCCCACAGGTGAGCAGCAGTGGAGGGAATGTGGGTCAGCAGGCTGAGGTGGGTATTTTCCTGAAGGGAGCAGAACCCCAATGACCAACCTGCTGCTGTTTCTGCTGGGATGAGGGGTTAGCAGCCACCTGTGTACGTGGCCACTCTTGCTCATCCCAGTGTAGCTGGGGCTTTACAGGAGCTGGTGTGGGAACACAATGTAGGCTATCCATTGCATGGTGCATGGGGTATGCTCATCTCCCCTGCCTCCCGCTTCTCTGGTTGGGGGGAACTTTGCAATGTCAATGCAAGCTGTTTCCTTCTCCCCACCTGCCACCCATGGGCTGGTCACTCTTGGATCATGGGCATCTTGCCTTTTTGGAGGCTGTGCCCCTTGCCAGACCACAGGTCTGTGCTGAACAGAGCAGAGAACGGCCTCCTGAGCACAACGCAGAAGGAGCAAAGTGCAGAGACGCATATTTATTCTGGTCAGAATGAGCTTCAGAATATCCTGCTGCTGCCTCAGCATCTGCAGGGAGAGAGGAGGGCAAAGTGTGAGTGCTGGGGTGCTGGGGGTGGGAAGATGTTTTCTTACAGGGTAAGATCTGGAAGGTGGCAGGCGTCCTCCTCAGGATGGCAGGGTCCACACTCGCTCCAAGCACCATCACCTTCGATGCAATCAGACACACAGATTACGTGTTACCAGTTGCAGCCTCTGAATCATGGATCTGGTGGGAAGTGCTGGGATTTGATCTGCTGCAGCTCCCCCTAGAGGTAACAAACTGGAACAACAAAGCACCAAGCCAGGTACAAAGAGGAAACCAAAAACACCCGCTAGGCTCCCAGCAACAATACTGCCAACCCCAAATGTTCAAAAATCATGAGTTAGGCT